CTAGTGGTTCAAAGAAACATATCGGCTGCTTTTATACTGGCACTTGATCAATGTCTTTAAACTCACAAATATGTATTCCTATTGTGTTGTATTCCTAAAGTGTTTTTCTTGCACTCCCTCCTAGGGTTACTATGACACCATGGACGCAGGTTTTGTGGATGAGGAGGGCTTCTTGTACATCATGTCTCGGTCCGATGACGTCATCAACGTGGCGGGTCACAGGCTGTCCACCGGTGCCCTCGAAGAGGTGTGAGGAGAGGGGGCATCTCAATCATAACACAAATAATAATAATAATCTCAAGCATCTTTGTTATTGCTTTACCAAAGAAATTGTGTGTGTGTGTTTGTCCTTCAGTCTGTCCTGCTGCACTCTGCCGTGGTGGACTGTGCTGTGGTGGGGCTGGAAGACCCCCTGAAGGGACACGTTCCACTGGCTTTGTGTGTGCTCCGAAATGGTAAGGAATGGAGAAAGGGATATTATTAGTACAAATATATACCTTAGGGGATGTATATTTGTTTATGTGCTTGTTTGTTTGCAGACTGTCAGAAGAGTGAGGATGTGCTGGCTTAATTAATCTGCAAAAATGTCAACAATTCTGTGTTTTTCTGTCAATATGGGGTGCTGTGTGTACATTAATGAGGAAAAAATATTAACTTAAATGATTTTAGCAAATGGCTGCAATATAACAAAGAGTGAAAAATTTAAGGGGGTCTGAATACTTTCCGTACCCACTGTATATTAGTGCCGTCAAACGATTAATTGCATCCAAAATAAAAGTTTTTATTTTCATAATATATGTGTGTGTACACACACATACAGTATATATTTTGAAAATATTCACATGTATTTACATGTATATGTTTATATTCATATAAATATATTTAAAATATAAACATAACATATTTTTCTTAAATATATACATGCATGTGTGTGTGTATATATATACATTATAAATATATACAGTACACACACATATATTATGTAAACAAAAACTTTTATTTTTGGATGCGATTAATCGTTTGACAGCACTAATATATATATATATATATATATACACACACACGATTTATCGTGTGACAGCACTAATATATATATATATATATATACACACACACACACTACCATTCAAAAGTTTGGGATCAGTAAGATTTTTAATGTTTTTAATGGAGTCTCATGCTCATCAAGGCTGTATTTATTTTGATCAAAAATACAGAAAAAAAACTGTAATATTGGAAGACTAGAGAAATGATGCTGAAAATGCAGCTTTGATCACAGGAATAAATTATAATTTAAAGTATATTAAAATAGAAACTGTTATTTTAAATTGCAGTAATGGTTCAGCATCATTACTCCAGTCTTCAGTGTCACATGATCCTTCTGAATCATTCTAATATGCTGATTTGGTTAATAATGGTTCTTATGATCACTAATGTTGAAAAGGTTTTTTTCTGCTTAATATTTTTGTGCAAACTGACACATAATTGTAATATTAATTGCTTATATAAACACAAAAATATTAAGCAGTCCAACTGTTTTCAACATTGATAATAAAAAAAAGTTTCTGCAAATCAGCATTGAACAATATCCGAAGAATCATGTGACACTGAAGAATGGAGTAATGATGCTGAAAATCCATGGCTTTGCATACTGTTGGTGTTTTGATTATATTTTTACATCAAATAAATGCAGCATTGTTGAGCATCTTTAAAAAAAAATCTGAATTATGTTTACTAAAAAAAATACTGAATTGCTGAAATTCTAAGTGAAGTGTTGTAATAAAATGTGGGAATGGGAATGTAGATTTAGACTACCTTTAGGTTTGATTTCTAAACACCATACATGTGAATGAATTAAAGGGATGCCAGTGTCCGTATTTATTTTGTCTAAAGTGCACAAAGAAGAATGCACCTTAGGGGATGTATATTTGTTTATGTGCTTGTTTGTTTGCAGACTGTCAGAAGAGTGCGGATGTGCTGGTGAACGAGATGGTGAAATTGGTGAGGGACACCATTGGACCGGTGGCGGCTTTTAAGAAGGTCGTCTTTGTCAAAGCTCTTCCCAAAACCCGCTCGGGAAAAATTCCACGATCGTCTCTCGCTAACCTAGTGAACCACAAGCCTTATAAGGTATTTTCTGACTTGTTTTTTTTCCTAGTGATAACTGTTAATAAATATTTGTGTTATATGGAATTTGCTGTAAGGACAGCTGCAAATCTTCAGCTTCAGTTCAAAAATCATAGTAAAGCAGAAGTTTGCAATTTGGATGTTTCTGATTTTCAATTCATAGATCAGTCCCACCATAGAAGATCCTGAGGTCTTTAAAGACATTGAGAAGGTGCTTAGAGAAACTGTGAAAGAACCTGGTAAATAATTTACAAACAGATGTGGATGTGCAAGCACACACACACACTCACACTCTCTGTTCTCTCCAAGATGTGAGATTCTGTGAAGATATGCCATAGAGAAACATGGTTCCCATTAGAATGAACCCCTGATTATAACACAATATTTTTTATTAGTAATGTCATTTATGTGCATGAACATGATGATTTCCACATATGTCTTGGACCAAATATGAGCAGTAGTCAACATGTTTAGATAATCAAAAACTTGGATAATTTTGAATAGGTGAATGTTAAAAAAATATGTCCGGTTCATATTGATTTCACCCCCAAGATCAAAAACGAGTGATATATTTTTTGTGTAAAGAAAATAAAATGAAGGCTGTTTTTATATTATATTGTAGCATAATTTGTTTTGAACCCCCAACTGTCAAAGCACCAACAATTGTGTCAGTGTTTAAATGTTTGAATTTGAAAGATTTTATTGACATAGTCACATTTTATAGTTTGACAGCTAAAGGAAAAAAATTTGCTCCATTATCTTAAGTAAAATGTTATTTTCCCTCATTCTGATTGGTTATATATAACCTGGACACGCTGTTGACAGTTTTTGTGAGATTCACCTTGCAGCACAGTAAATTATGACTCCTGTCATGTATTGTAGCACTGGTGTAGCGTTAGCTTGAGGAGATGCATTGTAAAAACATTTGTGACAATGATTGTTCTAAAGCAAACCTATTTGACTGTACTTTTTTATTGACAATGAAAAGTTGTTTGATCACCACATAGTTTTGACCAAAATACAATCAGTAATAAATAAAAAACGGACACAAAATAAAATGATTCTCTGCGCGTGCAAAACAGGGACGTACAAACCGTCGAAGTGTCTGATATAACCGAAAGACGGGAGGTGGAGGGCTGTACAACAGACGTCCCCTGCGTCTCGAACGGAAACATTTTTACACCAAAGTAAGTCTACGTTCACTACGAGCTAAGCCTGTCCTTTAGCGATTTGTTCTAATGCTCTCGAGACGAGGCTAGCCTATTGGCAACGGAGCAAACGGCAACGGGCGCGGCGAGAGATTTGTGTTTTGTACTCCGAGATGAGCGGTCCGCGTCGCGACGAATACTCGCCGTGCTCCGGCGGTGCAATTTTGTGCTACTCACGACGGGAAACAATTGCCGTTTTACGTTCTTTTTAACCAAACAATAAGAAATGCCAGCGTACGCGTGAGAGAATATCCAATTACTCATGTTCTTCAATACGCCTTACCGTGAAGGATCAATTGGCAAACTTTGTTGAAAACCCCCTAAAGTTTTGAAGCATGTGTTTGAACAGATTGATGGATAAAGAAATAAACGGATGTTGAAAAAATTGGTATTAAGGCTCCTGAAAGTATCAGTGCTTTAAGAATTGTTTTTCTGTAGTGTCTTTCAGGAGTGGTAGTTTCTCACAATTCAACACAAGATGACATTCTGATCTTGCATGTAGTAGCTACTCGCTTTTCACGATCCAGTTTATGAATTAACGATGAACAGGTGATATTATTTCAGTTCATGATAAATATTTATCACATAGTAGGCTAATATGTGAAAGGGCAGCGAATGCCATTTCACCAAATCCTACATGTTTGACCTATTTGTTGAGTAGGTGCGTTTCTTTCAGGTTTAGGTCAGACCTGCACCTAGAGCTCCATAGGGGTACGAGCGAGTAACTGGCGTGACGTAGACTCTGACGGGCATGTGTAGCTTTTGGTTGATGGGCTTCCAATCTGCAGAACGCAACAGGCCTCAAAACGCAGGACTGAATGAATAAAAAGTAACAGCATGTCCAAAGTGTCTCTGGGGCATAGGCCAAAAATTAGAACAGCAGCATCGTTTAAAACCATGACGTTAAAGGACGCAATGTGCACAAACTCTGAACATGTGATATTTTTATACAGATGTGTGTATGTATATATATTTATTTATTTATATGTATGTATTTATATATATATAAAACAGCTTTATTTATAGTGATTTACAGTTGAACCTACACATCCCCTGTAGAAGAAATACACAGTACTTAAGCCGAAGGAGCTGCGTGGCGTGAAAGACAGAAAGAGCGAGAGCACGTCGGCACCTGTGGCGGACACCCGGCGCAGAGCAGCCTCGACCCCCGCCTCCTGTCCTCCGCGGGCTTCTGTTGTTCTCTTGGCAGTGTGGAGTTGGGAGGCATGCGGGAAACATGCAGTGTTACCAGCATGCCTCCCAACTCCAATTATGTGGGAGGGATTCACCTTCTCCACAATCGTATATATAATTCCTTTCTTAATGTGTTTTGTATCATGGGGTCACCAGAAACCAGTACAGAACAATGTGCACAACAATGAGACTGTTAGTAAGTGGTTAATATCCAGACACAGAATAGAGGAAGATCCAGCAACACTGGGGAAAGGTGTTAAAGGGAAACATGAATAAAACACTGCTCATCCGTGTACATGAGATACATACTGAGCTCACGATGATGAACGTACTGTGTGGTAAGAGTAGTATTAGTGAAGCAGTCGGTCACATGAGGCCGGATTGGTTGTCGGTAGAGCGGAGGCGGAGGCAGTTGTGAAGGGTTTGGTAATGAGGAGAATCTGTGACTTTGCTCGTAGCTGAGACAGAAAGAGCGAGAGCACGTCGGCACCTGTGGCGGACACCCGGCGCAGAGCAGCCTCGACCCCCGCCTCCTGTCCTCCGCGGGCTTCTGTTGTTCTCTTGGCAGTGTGACTCGTCGGAATTGTTTGTTCAGGCCAACTTTAAGGTACGACTCTGAAAGAAGTGAAACAGAAGAGAAGATCAGATGATGTTGCGGTTCGTGTGTGTATATGAAACAGGCAAGGCTTGTAATTTGAAGTGAAAACTTGCAGGTTTAGTAGAAGGTAAGATGTGTCAGCTGTTTGATTAGCTGAGACCGTAAACGTTTTGCTTGTTAGAATGTTCCATTGTATTTAGCCTGTCTTGCTTTGCTATCACAAGGCAACATGTTAAGGCATACCAAAATGTGCTTTTGCAAGTGACGGGTGTAAAAGTGTCCCATCATTGCTTAGAGCACAACTGTTTATGTTGCGTGATAGCACTTGCAGTGGCCATCTATGGAGATGGATTGTCAGGCTAGCTCTGTGAATGAGCCGTTGTGACATACATGCATGTACAATTGTGTGTAAGTGGATTTGTGCTGTAGTTAGGGTGGGAATGAAGGGTTCGTCGGGACTGCATTAGCTGCGTTTACTTCGATCGTAATAGGACTAGAAGCACAATCAGAATAAAAAAGTCACATGTAACCACGTCAATCGGATTGAATTGGCCAGATCCGATTCAAATTTCGATCGGATTGTAAGGGGTGGTTTATTCCTTTTGTAATCCGAGTGGGAGGACATGTAAAGACTTGATCGGATTGAAATCTGAAACTGGAAAGTACTGCGCATGTGTAGTGATGTAAAAATAGCGTAATGAGGTATGACACGCAAAACGAGCTGTTCTTCATCGTGAATAAAGTGTCATAAATGAGTGTCCAGTCATTCAAAAATTCTGCTTTCACTCGGCGTCTGTGAAGTGGAGCAGCACAACGTCCCACCAGTCCTTGTTTAAGACACGGAAAGGGTAATAACTTTTACTGCTTTCTAAAGTAAGCAGCACAGCACAACAGTTCATGTGCTAGTTGTTGCCTAATTAGGAACCGAAGTAAATAAAAATTAAGTGTGCTTTTTAAAACATTATGCGACAACAGCGGGAAACTGTGTATTCATGCAGTGTGCGCATGTCAAATGATTAAATCCAATCGGAAGGTTGTGACATAAATGAGCATATCATCCCGATCACTTTATGAAGCGTTCATGTAAACACTACATTTGGATTTGTCAATCAGAATGAATTCATTCCGATGGAAGCAAAAAGTGTCCAAAAAACGTAGCTATTGTTTCAGTGCACCTGTTTAGAAGAAGAGCAGTGGCGGTTCGTGTGTGAAATATGGTGATACACAACAATATTGTTTTTTCCCAATTGCAGTTGTGTAACTGCTTTTTCCCAAAAGTAGTATTGTGGTTAGGCAAAATTGGACCGAAGTGATTGTTCTCATTCTGAATTATTAGATAGCTTGGTTTGATGGGTTTTTTCATCCTTGATTCAAAAGAGCAGCTCCAGGGTTTGTTTTCATATAATTAATGTTGTTGGAGCAAACCTAATTCTCTTAATATGGAAGTGCCTGTGTAAGCTGGGGTTTAAAAGTATTGTAGTTGGTATGTTTGTAACGTATGTGTAAAGCTGTCTAGATGACTTATACAGCACTGCTACGTGGATGAAGTTGTAGCTACATGTAGCTGTTCACCTGCAGATGTGGCTGGTCTTATCATTTTAGTGTGAATAGTGCAAATGCTGTTGAATTAATGTATTTGATTGAGCGAGGGACGTTAGTTCACTTAATAAGTGTTGTTTATTGAAAGAATTGCTTTGTTTTCAAGATGATACAGCAGAGGAGAGGTGCAGTGAACATACTAAGGCTGAAAACGAGTTTAGTTTCGCACAGGTGTGAGACTCGCAGCTTACAGTATTGATGTTCTCTCAGCAAGAGTAGGTCCTCACAGTGGAGCTGTCCAGACGCTGTACCGCCGATGGTCCAACTGCATGGAAATAAAGATATGCAGTGAGTGAATCTTTTGGGAGTCATTTGTCTGTATATCCATCCATGTGTGTTAAAGTGGCTGTGGAGTTTTGTTAATGCAGTGTGTTGAGTGATATGTGTTTTTCAGATGTCTAAATCAGATGTTCAAAATGGAACTATGTACGGTATGTATATTCCTCTAATTCAAGTGGACGTAAGAGGTGGGCAATAGTGTGATTTGTTAGGGTGTTGTGGGTCTTTTTTTTGAGTGTTATTAGAAAGAAATTGAAGACAGACCCCTTGGAAGTGATCAGTCACTCTATTATGGCCTAGCTCCCTGGTTGCCTCTGTCGGTCCCTGTGTGTGTCTGTCGGTCCCTGTGTGTGTGTGAGTGAGGGATATGACATGCTTGCAAGTAGTTTGGGGGGTCAGGATAGAACAAAGTAGCTGTAGAAAAGGCTGTTTATGCCATGTAGGATGAATTGAGACAAATGCTTTGATTTGTGTAATGAGGTATTGTATTCGAGTTTCTTTGAAATGATCAATATTCAATCCCTATGACTAACTTTGCTCGTAGCTGGTGAGGCGTCAGTTTGCCTGGAGCGGCAGCCATCATGCGGCAGCTGTCGTGTTCATCCCTGGTCATACAAAGACTGGCTCGAATCTAACTGCGCGACTCCAACCAGCAGACACGGCACGCTACGCTCTTGTTTTCCTTCCCTCAGCTTTCTCTTTCCTTTCACAGCTACTAACACCTCAACTAAGTAGCCACACATCAAGCCATGGACTCCTCTTGTTCTCCTGCAAGCTCCTTCATGCCAACACCTTTCCAGGTACTCACACACAACTGTGCTACTACTACTGCTAAATGGTGGCTGGCTTACACAACACAACTCGCACAAAAGCTCAACCAAACCACTTTCTGCTAATTACCATTTAGCACAACCCAGCCAACCACTAACTAGCTTACACCTGCAATATTGCTCACTAACTTCTGTTCCAGATCCTGGAAGCTTGCACAGACCTGACCCCTGGAGTTCCTCAGGGATCTGAGCAGAGTCCCCTCCATGCGAGGGATTTCAATCAAGCCACATTTAGTCTCAAAAATGCTGCCTCCAAATCAAATCTATTACATGCTTCAAGTGTCTCTGATTTCTGATGTCCAGGCCAGCTAGACAATGCCCAGCCCTCCACATCATTCTAGCCACTACATTGCACAATCTCAACAACTACTACTGCCCATTCATCCACGCTTCAGCACCACCAAAACTCTATCTGTCACTTGACAGACCAATCACTGGTCTCTCATCTCCCTAAGATAGAAACAAAAACAACCATATCTAATATATATAGCACTGCCACTCCTCCCTAAATCATTCCCACTAAACCTGCTCCATGCTACTGCAAGAACACAAATATGGTGACGTACCATACTCCCATTATCAGAGAATCAAGATTACGTTACTTACATAACCTCAACTACTTCAAACATCCATCACATGGGACATAGCCAACTCCCAGACCGCACATACACTGTCGCAGGCATGTCAACCAACTCATATACTGTACATGTTACACCAGAAAAACCAAACCGTTCCCACAAAAAAAATACTGCACTACCATAACAAATACCTTAACAACACAATAACAGCTCTGTAACATCCATTCCATACCAATCAAGTCACACAAAAATGCCTCTACTAGAGTGAGCCTTCAGCCCCATGCTGTTATAACCTAATACTTGCACTATCACTTGGTCAGGTTATGATGTCAAACACTTCACCCATAACTCCTCCATAGTACTGACACAACGCACAGGGTGCAAACTATGAAGCCTGTCCTCCTCCAACAGAAAAAAACAGCACTAATTCCAAGTCAATGACTTTACACAGTTAGTCCTAAGTAATACTCAAGTTGATGTTCACTAACCTCCTTCCCAATAGAGGCATTCTCCAGCAAACAAAAATAAAACACTGCTTTCAGTCAATAGGGTCAAATACCAAGACCACACACATATTCCACCAGAGAACAGGCAGTTTCTTAACCCTGTTCAGGTGCCACGCACCTTTTAGAAACCTGCATACAATTGGGTGTTCACCTGTAATATTTACCGCCACAACAGAGATATTCCAGCGAGATATATCTTCACAGGATAAATGCCTCTGACCTCATCTCGCGCACAAAATATCTACAAAATCAACAACAATAAAAAAAAACAATTCCATCATACACACCGAGTTGACGCAGTGGTTATCTGGCAGTGGTTCTTAGTACTGAACAGTATTAAGAACCACTGCTTTAGAACATTGATTTTGAAACTTGTGAATCCATTAGAATCGTTATAAGACAGAATCGTGATTCATATATGAATAGAGTTTTTCGTGCACCCCTAGATTGTGCCCAGCATGGCAACAACTCTTCCTCTTCTCTAAAGCAGCGCAGCATGGCCTC